AAAACCGCACTTATCCTCCTCTCCGCCCGTGCAAAAGAACAATATATGGATCTTTTCGAAGACTTTAAGGAGCACTTATTGATTGCCTCTCTTAAAGAAATCGAAATAGAATCCCTAGGTAATAAGGACAAGAGAACTGCCCTCAGATATAAGGAAAAAGCATTCACAAAACCGAAAATGGCTGATGAGAAATCCACAGCCATGATCGTTTTGGAAGCGGACAATAAACCCTCAACCAAGTTATCAACCGTTTCTATGTGTGAAGACATCCCTGCACTAATCGCTGACACAACCCACCTTTTCCTAGATGAATTCAGCCAAACACCAATTAACCAAATAATTCACATACTAACCTACGCAACCCAACTCGAGAAGATATTTATCACTGGGGATCACAAACAACTCGGTGTTTATAAAGAAGATGTACCAAAATTCCTACATCCTCTTGGCTTTGACTCAATCATCTCTCACGCACTTTCAATCCCCTCCATTCCCAAAGTTCAGTTAGTAAAATCCTATAGATCCCACCCAGTAATTACCAAAATAGTAGCCGATACCTTCTACGAATCCGAGCTAATCCCTGGAATCATAGAAGAGCAAAGATCCCAAGCACTTTCCTTCCCCTTCCCGGTTAAAAACATTCCAATTCTCCTAGTTGATACACCAGAGAAAGACGAACGAGATAGTCGATCCTTCTCTCGGTTTAACACTTCACAAGCACAGATAGCACGCACAATAACAGAGAAATTCCTGGAAACCACTGATTTAAGAATAGTAATCCTTTGCCTTTATAAGAAACAAGTTGATGAGATTAGAAATTTTAACCTCCCCCGTACTTCTTGCATTACAGTGGATGCTTTCCAGGCCAGAGAGGAGGAAATAGTCATTTTAGTTACGACCAAAAAGATGCCGGAAAACTTAAATGACTATAAAACCTCCCTTGCCTTTATAAATAACCCACAAAGAGTCGCAGTCGCCATTTCACGCTCAAGGCAGGCATTTTGCTTGATTGGAGACTTTGAAACACTGCGAAAATGCGACTCTTGGAGGAAATTTATCGATAATGCCTCTAAATTTACACCTATAATTAATAATTCTTTTTTATTTAGTCAAACCGCCCCTCCTGGAACTCAACCAACCCCATCTACTGGCCCACAACACAAACCGACTCCTGGCACTCAACCAACTCCGACAACTGGCCCTACACCAAAACCGAATACTGGCCCGACTCCAACAACAAACAAACCTACTCCTGACCCACAACCGAAACAACACCCAACCCAAAAACAACAACAACCTCCTCTTCCTCAATTCAAAAACAAACAACAATTCCAACACCAACAACCCAAACCTGTCCATGAACCAACAATGCCACCACCAAAACGACCCTACATGCCTTCTGCCTCTTCCAATCCACATATGCGACAACACAATCAACCACCTCAATTGAAAAGCGTAAATCCAATTATAAATCCCCCCATTTCTCTTTTCGATAATAAATCTTTTGTTTCCTCTTTATCTTCTCCACAATTTAATATGCCTCAATCTTTTAATCCCCCAAATTTCACTGAATCTAAATTTCCACCACATCAATTTAATTTTTCACAATATCCCCAATCTAATATTCCATCTAATTTTTATTCATTTTACAATACTCCCTCCACTTCACAATACCCCCAAAATTTTTCAAATATAAAATTCTTTAATAATGCATATTGGCAATGGGACAATGTCGAGAAAAAATGGTATCAAGTCCCCCCTCCACCATCCCACTAAACCCCCCTCACCCCTTTAACCCTTAAAAGTTAGTAGAGAATAAAAACTCTATAAACTTTTCTACCCTCATCCCCCCTTCAATCCACTTCTCAACCCGCCTCCACCTATCCCCCCTTCTACACCATCCCCCCTCTACACCATCCCCCCTTCTACACCATCCCCCTTCTACACCACCCCCCTTCAACCCCCCTCCTATCCCCTGTGAGTAAGGTCTTTCAGATGGCCCAAAAAAGAATCGGTAACCATCTGATCGAGTACAGCGCTTTGCCCTAATTTTCAAACAAACGGGGACCAATTAAGTTTGTGTCACCATTTGTAAACCCCCGTTCTCTGTCCTGTCCCCCCTCACGCCTTCCCTATCCCCCTACAAGAAAATCTCGTCAAACACTCTTTTAAGCGCAGGGTCGCGCTTATTAGAGGTTGGGAGATGTAACGGACCCGACCCCACAGACTCGATACACACCTTTTCTCGACATGTTCATATCCAAATCCACCCCGACTCAAATAGACTATAATCCACTTTCCCAAGCTCTGTTTATTCTTTCTCTCCTCCCCCACACATATCCATTTTGTATTTTATTTTTATTAAAACTCCTCCCCCTTTTTCTTTCAACACAAACCAACAACTCTTCAGTGGTTGAAGTGATTGAAATGGTTGTTAATTGAAGAGTTGTGGTTAAAGGCGTTTGGATTTTGATGGATCGATGAAGGAATAATTATTTTTTAATTATATTTTTCCGTTTGTATTTTTAAATGGTTTTTCAATTTAAATATATTTTGCTCCTGTATTTTTGGAATTAATCATTTTTATTTGTTTTTAATTTAATTTATATTGTTTGGACATTTTAATGTTAATTAAATAAACATTTCTTTTCCAATTTCCCAGTTGATTTAATTTAGGGAAAATAGGAAAATGAGTTTAGTCCTCTGCGCCCTCCCCTTTTGACCAACTTCCAAATCCTCCTCCACCCCTAAATACCGGCGCTCCGAAGATGCACCAGACCGAAAGGTCGTGGTTGCTAACTTTATATATTTTTTGTAATTTCGGGTTTGTGGTTGAAAAGAATTGGCGTTGAACTGTGCAAAAATAAAAAAAGAAAATAAAAACAAATGTGTGAAAGATTGAAAAGGATTTTTAGATAAACCTAAAAAAATCAAGAAAAATGACGGGAATTACGTGAATAGGGGGAAAGGGGGGAGGAGAGGGAAGGGAAGGGAAGGGGAAAGAGAAAGAAAAAAATATTTTTATAAAATGAAAGATGATGCGCGGAAAATAATTTTTTGTACCTTATTTTTGCAACTGAATGGACAAACGGAACAAAAAATTCTTTTAAACAAATAATTTATTTGTGTTTATATGTATGCCCTAATTTATAATTTAAAAAAGAACAAAAAAAGTTTACGGAAAAGTTTAAAAATAAAAGAAAATTTAAACAAGCAATTTTGGGAGAGTTTTAAGAAATGAGCATCTAATAAATATAAACACAAAAATTCTAAAATATATTTTTTATAAAATGTCAGTTCCAAAAATTTTCTATTTAATAAATCTTTTTATATTTATTTACCTTTTAAATTTTCAAATTAAAATTTTAAAAATAAAAGTTTAAAAAATAAAACTAGCAATTTTCTGGATTTTTTTAAAAGGTGAATTTGTTGAATCATTAATTTAAGGAAAAGTTTCTTTGGATAAGAATTATTATTTTTTATATAAAAAAAATAAAAATAAAATCTTCTTTATTAAAATGCATATTAAAATAAGTAGAAAATAAAACAAACAGAAAAGGAAATATTTAGATGTGTGTTTTGCTTTATTTTAAATTTTTTGAGATTAAAAGCCAAAAAATTTTAGCAAAAAATTTGAGAATTTTTAATTTAAAATATTTAAAAGAATTGTTGGAATGAATAAATTGTGGAAAAGTAAAGAAATAGGGGATATAAATAAACAAAATAAATCTTATCTCGTTTTAAATATTAACACAAAAATGCGCAGAAAAAGAAAAGTAAAAGAAATAAATTTATTTATTTATATTTAATCCTTTAAAGAATTCCCTATGGTGAAAATAAAATAGAGAACAATTTAGTGTAGTATTTAATAGGATTTTTACTTGAAATTAAAATTAGGAATGAATTTTTTATTTAATTATATTTTTTTTAGTTGTTGGACATTTAAACAAAATTATTATTTAAAAATTAAAGTAAAAATGTAGTAGGGAGGGGGGGGGGAGGGGGGAGGGATAACCTGTTGTTAATTAAAAACAAATTAAAAAAAACATTTAAAAATCTTAAAAAAGAACGAAAAACACATTAAATTCTGCTAAACAAGAAATAAAACTTTATAAATGGAAAATAATTTTTATAAAAGAAAAGGCGGTCATTAAAAATAAATTTAAAAAAAGAAAAGAAAAAAGAAGAAGAAAAAGTTGCAAAATTAATGTCTATATTTAATTAATTAAAATGTCACAATGCGCAATAAAAATAAATTTTATAACAAAGAGAACGTTTTATTAAATTTTAATGTCCATCTTCCGGTTTGTTTAAACAAAGAAATTAATTTTATATTTAATTTAAAAAAAAAGTTATTTAAAGATTAGTTGTTAATAAACAGAAAGGTCACTTGAGAGATTTGTTAAATAAATAAAAAATAATTTTATTTTAATTTCTAAAATGAATTATATATTAATATTTAATTTATTCTTTAAAAAAAATAATAAAAACAACAAAAATAAAGACAGGCTTAAACAAAAAAAAGATAGGAGGATATACTAAATTAAATAGTTATTAAACATTTAAAGTTTTAACAAATAAAAGGCTCATCACGAAAATTTAATTAAAAAAATAATTACTCAAAAATTGCTTTAAAAATCAAAGCACAAAATAAATACAAAATAAATTTGGAATTTTTTTGACGATCAGACACCAAAAAATTAAATAAATATACATATGTATAGACTAATCTTCTTCTTGGTAAATGAATTAAAGTTAAAATCTCGCCAAGCAAGATTTTATTTTTTTATTTTATAATTTTTAAAAAATAAAGATTTGTAAAAATAAATAAACATTTAATATTAATGTTAGTTAAAGGAAAAAATTAATCTGATGCCAAATCAAAATTTTTTGAAAATTAATTCCTCCTCTTTTAAAATAAACATTAAGGGAATTTATACAAAATAAATATTTAAATTAAAAATAAATTTATACCTAAATTTAAATAATTATTTATTTACCTCCGCAGCGCCTCCCTTTAGCAAAGCATTTATCAAAGACATAAGAGCAAGTCTAACACGAGCAGTATCTCTCGGAGTGTTTCCATGTTCTTTAAATAAATCTAAAAATAAAAATATTTTTTTAATTAGATTATTAATTTATTTACCGTCAATTAAACGTTGAAATCTCGTCCTTTCTCCCCTAAGTAATTTAACTTGAGTCAAAGCTTTTAAAACTGCTCTATGTCCAAATTCTGCACAAAAACAAAGACCAGAAAGGATTTCAAGTGAAATTACCTAAAAAAAATTATTTAATTTAAAAAATAAAGGGAGAAGGAGAGAGGGGGAAGGGAGAGAACAGACCGAAACTTTTTGGAAGAGGGCATTAGCGGCACTTGGAAGAAGTGAATAAATAAATGTACGTGGAGGTGATGATGATGAAGATGATGAAGACATTTAGATTTTTTTGTAAATAATTAAAAGGAAAAAAAGTGGCTAAAAAATATTATTTTTGTTTTAAATGAAAGAAAGGCGGGGAGAAAAAAAATATTAAAATAATTAATTAAAAATAAATTTTGAATGAACGGAAAAAGTTAAAGAGATGAATTTCTTTGATTAAAAACGGAAAGGAAGTGAGGCGTTAAATTATAACGTGATATAAATTTACAATTTAGTAATTACAAAACACAATTCAATCACTAAAAAAGAGAACTAAAAGTCAGTTATTTCACTCAAAATATTTTTGGTTTGTAATTACCTATTATTAGAAAATTGTGAATTGATCAAAGTAAAATTAATTTAAAATATTCTTTTTTAAATTTTAATTAATTTTTTAATAAAAAAGGGGGGAAGAAAAGGGTAGTTTATTTGATTATTACTTATTTTTAGCTTTTCGTTAATTAAAGCATCAAAATAAAAACAAAGAATGAATTATTTTGAACTAGATTATTTGAAGGAGATATTATAGAATGATTGTATGATATTTGTGTTTAATAAATATATTAGTAATTATTTTTTAGAGTAATTAAATAAATTTATTTTTTGTATAAATCACATGAAAATAATAAGTCGAGAAAAGCGTAAAATATTTCATTAAAAATAAACTCTCTTTAATGAAACCGCCAATTAAAATAGAAAATATTTAAATAAAAAACAATAGAAAATAATTTCTAAATAATTTTTAGATAAAATATTTTTATTACAAAATTATTGAAATAGAACGAGAAAGAAGAGGAAAGGAAATAAAAGTTTATAACAATTCCTCCCCTCAAATTGAGAACAAATTCCTCCCCTCAAATTGAGTTTATAACAATTCCTCCCCTCAATTGACCTAAGGAAATGGCCGTAAAAATACGAGAGGAATGCGCAGAGAAATTCTAAAAGTACTTTGAGGAATTTTATGTTTTTCTCGCTAACTACATAAAATATTTTTATTCTTTTATTTATTTATTATAATCTTCTACTTTTTAAATTTATTTAAAGAATATTTTTGTTTAATTCCAAAAATTTTTAAAAATAATAAAGTATCTCAGTTCAGAAATATTGAAAGACAACGTCCCAACTGTCCCACTCCAAAATGACCCGTTCCTGCTTCTAATTTTAAATATAAAACGGAAAAACAAATTAAATATAACAACTACTTTTACAAAAAAAAGAGAAAATATCTCCGCCGGTTTTTCTTTAAAATAAATAAAAATATTATTTTATTTTATTATCGTCATCGATGCGAAACGCTGTTTTAAAGAGAGAATTTTTATTTTCTTTTATGTGAACGGTACAAAAATCTAAAATCTACACACCGGTTTTATGACCAATTATGTGAACAGAGCGAGAAAGAAAAGCTGTCAAATGCCCCGGGCCGGTGGCTTAATTATGGCGTTATTATGGAAGGAAGGGAAGGAATGTTCTTTTAACAAGGGAAAGTAAAAGAGAGAGGATTTGAAAGAAAATGGCAAAACCGGCTGGTGGTGGTGGTCAGTTAGCGATTTAATATTAAATAAAAAGGAAATTTTTGAATAAAAATTTTAGAGATATACAAAGTATATGCCTTTAATGCCTGAAAAGAAGCGGCTCAAATTTTAAGAGTATCGGTCCGAGGTATAAACAAAAACTTGGAAAATATTAAAAACTTGAATATTTTAAAGCTAAATATACTTACAAATTTTTGGATAAGAATACTTTTTTCCCTTTAATATTTAAAAAACAACCTACTTTACACCTAACACTCTGTAAATCTAATGCCCAAGCAACAGATTTCAATGCTTCAGCCGATTCTTGTACCCAATGTCTTCCAATCTATTTTTTTAGATTAAATTATAACAAAAAAATCTTTTTTAATTTTATTTTCTACATTTTAAGGAATGGTTAAAATTAAAAGGGAAGAACTTTAAAGGAATTTAGCAATTCTTTAATTTTTAATCAAATAAACAAACAAAATATTTTTAAAAGAATTTTATCAAAAATACAGTAGTCGACAAAAAGATAGGGACAAACGCATGTAAAATGAAAATCGCCTATTTTCTCAGCTAAAAATCGATTTATGAAAAAATTTTTTGTTTGATTAAATACGCCATTTAATGCTCTATTTAATGAGTATAAGATTTGGCGTATTATTATTTTCTGATATACTGAAATAATTGAAATAAAAAAGTACTGCAAATTTAAGCCCGACAAAAAGATAGGGACAAGTCTTGTAACTAAGTAGTCACCCAACCAGTAAATCTACAAAAATTTGTACAAACATAATGATCGATACTAAGATAAAATAAAAAAGAACTAGGTCCATATCTCATTTCAATGTCGAGATCTCGATACCTCAAAAATCAACGTAAAACAGGGGTAAGCAACTTCAAAAAATATTTTCGCACACTTATGGATTTTTTAAAATTTTCATTTTAAGCCTATTCGATAGCTCTTGAAATTTGCTATAAAATAGCCAAATTTCATTTTTGAGAAAAAAATATTTCGTTAGTTGCAGAGGCGAATGTTACAAAAAGCAACAAACACCCCATAAATTCCCTCATAAATGGCGTTTTGTAGAATCGTCGTCTTTTATCTCGAAAGTGAAATTTTTTTGAATAATGAAATTTGGCTATTTTATAGCAAATTTCATGGGCTATCGATTGAGCCTAAAATAAAAATTTAAAACAATCGATAAGGGGTCGGCAAAAAATTTTGAAGTTGAAAATCCCTATTTTACGTTGATTTTTGGGGTATCGAGATCTCGACAACGAAATGAGATATGGACCTAGTTCTCTTTTATTTCTTCTTAATATCGATCAATATGCTTACACAAAATTTTGTAGATTTTTTGCTTCTATGAGAACTTAGTTACAAGACTTGTCCCTATCTTTTTGTCGCGCTTAAAATAGCATACCTTTTGTTTTTCAATTAGGGTTGAATTTTATAAAAAATTAACCAGGCAAATTTTCTACTCATTAAATAGAGCATTAAATGGAGTATTTAATCAATCAAAAAATTTTTCCTAAAATCGATTTTTAACCGAGAAAATAGGTGATTTTCATTTTAATTGCGTTTGTCCCTATCTTTTTGTCGACTACTGTATATTTTTGTTTGTTTGTTTATTTAAAAAAGGGGGCAGTTATTTTATTTAAAAAGAATTTAAATTATTTTTGTATTTCAAAAGAGAACTAAATAAATATTTTAATTTAAAAAAAATAAATAAAAACAGTAGAATTTAGAAGAGCCCGAATAGAACAAAGCAAAGGAAGAGCAATTAATTCTGCTGAAGAACCACGAGAATTACATTTATTTAATAATCTTTGCAACATTTCCAATCCTCCAGCACCCAGAAATTGTTCTAACCAACTTTTAAATTAAAAAATAATTTAAATAAATTTTTTTGGTTATTTAATTGTCGAAATAAATACAGAATAAATAGATATCTAATTAGGTATCCTCTAATAGTTTTAGGGTTCTAATAAATTCAACTCGTTTAATAAACAATAAAATAAAAGATTGCTTTAAAAATTTTGGTAAGGTTTTTAAAATTATTCTGGGAGGTTGGTCCTCCAACACCAAGAAATTGTTCCTTAAAAAGTAGCGGGATACCGAAATAATCATGGAGAATGTGTACGGACTGGAATTTAAAAAGAATCGAGATTTGTTGACTGGCCGTTATTTAGTTTTAAAAATTTCAAGAGTATGATTATCATTATTAAATGCTTTATTTATTATAGGTCAAAAATAATGTTACTACTACTATAATATTTTAATAAATAAAATTAAAAAAATGCTTTTAGATATTTAATTAAATTACCTAAAAGATTCAGTTCTTAATGTCGCAGCCAACCCCTCTAATTTTTTAATAACCAAATTATTTTCAATTAAATCCTCTTTTTCTTCTTCTTCTTCAATATTTAATAATAATTTTTCTAAATATTTAGCATAATAATCTCCCCCTCCCTCCTTAATATTTTCTTTTTGTTTTTGCCTTTCATTTCCAGATATTATAACTTTCCATTTCCATTCTAAAGGTTGGGAAATTAATTCTGCTTGGCATTCTTCATTTAAATCTAAATCTGACAGAATTTTTAAAAATGTTTGTTCAATTGATTCTATATTGTTTTGTTGTTGATATATTGAGGAATTTAGGGAAGAAGAATTAATTGTTTTGTTGGTTTTGTTGTTGTTACATTTATTATTCTAAAAATATTTTAAATAATTAGTAAGAGACAATATACTATAATTATTTTTAAATTAAAGCTCTTTAAATCGAAAGCCCTTTAAAGTTGCTATAAATGTGTTAAATTTAATTTTCCAGAAAAAAATATTTCGATTAGTTGTATAGTCTAAATTCAGTTAATTTTGTCCCTATCTTTATGTCCACTACTGTATTAATTATTTTTCCTTTAAAATTAATTTAATCTCATTTTCACATATTTAAATATGCTTAAAAACATACAGATTCAATAAATTCCTTATTATTTCCAACAACAACATTTTCTTTTTCAAAAAAACAACTCCATGCCTTATCTATAAAGGCTTCTAACATTTCCTTTAAATTCTAAAAAAATTAAAAATAAAATTTTTAATAAGAAAAATTTTGAGAGAATTTTAAATAAAAATTAATCAAAAATAAATTTGGAGAAAGAAGAAAATTAAAAAATAACTACAAAATTAAAAAAATTCCAAACAAGTTAATTTTCGTCATCATTTAAGAAAAAAAGTTTTTGAATTATTACCTTTTTTAATTAAATGAAACATTCGAAAATTAAAAGAAAAAAATTAAATGTTAGTTAATTTTTTTAAAAAATTCAATAAAATAATATTTAAATAAAAAAATATTTTTTTATGGATTTACACATTTTCTGAAATAATCTGCAAAAAGAGTGAGAGAAGGGGGGAGACACAAGGGTTTTTAACAAAAATAAAAATATTTTTTTATTATTCTCGAATATAAAACTATTAATCTTGTAATCATAACACACTTTTATAAACATTTTTTTGTAAAAATCATTTTTTCAAACATCTGGAAATAAATCATATAAAGTTTTTCTATTTAATTTAATTTAAAAAATAGAAATGGGGATATTAAAATAAAAAGGTAAAAAAATATTGGAAATATTAGAGTAGTTGTAGTGAGAAAAAAGAGAGTTTTTTTGGGATTTTAATAATAACGGGAAATCGCAAAAAACGTGGACAAGCAATCAAAAAATGGAATGAAAGGGATTTTCAGGTGATGGACTTTTGAGGAGGAAACAGGCTTTAAAAGAGTGAATTAAAGCTTTCACGCCGTTTATGTGCCAAAATCCTTGAAAGGGGTTAAAATGGGGAAAAGATTTAAGAAATTATTTGAAGAATAAAAAAGAATAAATACTTGTGATATATAATTAGGGTTTGAATTGGCAGAATATAAAAAAGTACTTTAATTTATTAAAAATAGCCTTTTTTCTACTTTTTGTCTCTTTAAAAATGAAGAAATAAACTAACAAATTAAATAAAAATACATATTTAAAAGCTTCTTATTTATTTTTAATTCCATAAATAAATCTTTGTCTATTATTTCCTTAAAAATATTTATTCTTTACTCAGATGCGCAATAAACTAAATTAATTGAGGGAAATAATGCCATAAAAATGTTAAAAGACGAGAGAGAGAGAAGGAGAAAATGAAGAAAAAATTTGGAAGAAAATATATGCTTTATTTTATTTACTTCTCTCACTCCTTCCTCATCCACAAATTTTTTCTTCCTCCTTCCTTCCTTTAGTCTTCATTTCTTAAAATGGGTATATAACAACCACTTGGTCAAATTAAAAATAAATAATTCTTTTTATGTTTATTTTTTTTGGATAAGAGGGGCAAGCAGATGTTTATAAAATAGAGAGAATTGTGTGGACATAAAAGAATTGGAAAATATTTAAGTGGATAAATAAATACTTGGCAAAATCCTTTGTAGTAATTCTATTTGGGCTCCAAAAATTAAAAGAATAAGGAAATTTTGGAAATATAAATCTTAAACAATAAAAAATACACAATTAAATCTGGTAGAAGAATGAGGGATGGCTGGATGGATTTTAAGGAAAAAGAGAGAAGAAGAACGTAGATGAGGGTGGACACTTCAAGGACATTCACCCAATTTTAAACTTTGGAAGGAAAAAATTTAGGCAATGAAGAGGATTTGAAGATTGTAGGGAAACACGGAAGAGGAAGGAAATGAAGAGGGGAAAAAGAGGAAAGAAAGGAGGGAAGGGGGAAGGATAGCCTTAGGGGGAGCGTAGAAGATGATCTCAGCGGGTGGCAGGCTGCCGGCTATTCCGGGGAGGGAAAGACAAACAAATAAATAAATAGATGGCAATTTGGCTATTGAAGGACATGAAAATTAGAAAATAAAAAAAAGAAGAAAATTAAAAAGAAGAAGAAAAGTTGACTTTTGTAAGAGGAATATATTTATTTATTTTTTTGCACATTTTGAGGGAAGCTAAATTGAAGAAAGAGAATAAACGATTTGAGGTGATTGCCTTTTTTGAGTTTATCCAAAAACAATTTGTTTGTTTTTTTAAATATAAATTGTTATGTTTAAAACGATTAAATGAAGAAAAAAATAAAAATTGTGACCTTCATGAATAAATTTTGGAAAAACAAAAAATAAATTTTCTGTAAAATTTAGACGATAACTTTTAAAGATTATTTTTAAAAAGTTGAGGATGGAACTTTTAAATTTTTTAAAAATTATTTAAAGCTAATTCAAAAATGTGAACGAGAAAACTATTTGTTTACAATAAAATTAAATAAAAATCGTAAATCAATTTCTTTTACAAAATTCTATTAAATATATATCTTCCTTTTATCCCAGGAACGTGGAATAAATAAAAGAATTGGGGTCATTATATTTGAGAGCTACATATGTACGTCTAAATAATTATTTGGAATATTATTTAAAATTTAAATTTTACAAATTAATTTAAATTAATTAGGGGTAAATATTAGTCGAATTAAATAATCTAATATTTATGGTAGAATAATTTATTTTATGTAAAATTATATACAAATATATATATATTTAAAAATATGTAAAAATATAAACAATTGTGTAACCTATACACGCATAAAATTACGCAGAGACGATTAAAAAATAACTAGAAAATAAAAAAATAACATTAAAAACCAAACAATTTCATCCAATTTAGGTCCTAATTTTTATTTAGAAATTAAAGTTTTTTTGTCAACTAGCAGGTAAAGATTCTTCCAATTAAAAAAAATTAAAAAGTATAAGGATGGGAATTATTAGTGATTGGCTAGTAAACTTTTTAGTTATATTTTTTTCTGCAAAAAACAAAAAAAAAATAATTGTTTTGTTTAGCGAAAACAAAAAAAAGTAGAACATAAGAGCAAAAGCATTAAAAGCCATTCAGGCAAATTAAAACGTTTTTCTATTTAATCGGGCCAAATAGTGCGTGAATGGCCTCTTGAAATATAAAAACATTTTTTATTAATAAAAATTATATTTTTTTCAAGGAGATAAATTTGTTATTATTTTATTTGTTTTTGATTTAATTCTGAAGTGAAAAAAAATAATTTTTATAAAAAAAATAAGTGGGTGCTCTGAATGGTTGTGAATAAAAAAGCTGGAACTGAGTGAGTGAGGGAGGGCTGATTTTTGAATATAAAAAAGAAATTTTGGAAATACAAAATTAGTTGGATAGAGAAAAAAGAATGAGGGAATTGGGTGCGGAAAAGCCGATTAGTGAGAGATTTTTGGGAGAGGGAGGAGGGGGGATGGAGGGAATTGAGAGGAAAAGCTTTAAATATATTTGTTGCCTTCTCTAAAATTAAAGCAATGGCAGAAAGCGCGAAATGGATGAAAAGAAAAAAATAAATAAAAAGAAGTGTGTTATTTGTGTTAGAAGAAAGAAAAGAGGGGGAAGGAATGATCAGCCTCGATTGAAGATTTTGGAAAGGATTTTTGAATAAAATAAGAATTTGAGGCGATTTACGGGGTAGGGAATTGTGGAGTAAAGCTGAAAAGCTACTTTAGAAGTATTAGGGATTAATGAAACGTCATCAGAAAATTTTGAATTTTTTTATTTATTGGTCAAAAGAATGGAGGACTATATAAAAATGGGCAGATTGAGGAGGGTATTCATTTAAATAATTATATTTTATTTAAAAAATTTTATTATCGTTCTATTTTTTATTAAACTTTATTATTTATTTTTTAGATTCACTATAAACGCCCTATTTATAGCCCGGCTCTATTAGAAGTCTATATCCAATAAAAATTGACTTATTAAAAAATTGAAGCTAAATGCTTTACTTAGAGTATTCAAGGTTTTCAAAACTAAAAAAGCTGGAACTGAGTGAGGGATAAAATAAGAATTTGAGGCGATATAAATAATCTTAAATAATCTTATTTCAAAAAAATCTAAATAAAAAATCCATTTTTATAAGTAAATAAAAATATTTAATGAATGAGAATGTACATTTATTTTTAAAGTTCTATTTTCGTTTATTTTCTTTTTATTTGTTTGTTGCGCAAATATTGTTATGCGTCCCTTTCTCGCCTTTATTTTTGTGGTCTAGTTTTCATTTTCATAAAATGTTGAAAATGAGATGTCCGGGTAGTTGTGGGGGTGGTGGTGGTCAATAAAGAATTAGTTTTCTTTAAAACTTTTTCTTTCTAAAAATTTCCGCCTTGTGCACACAAAAATGTTCTTTTTACTTGCCTAATTAATTAATTTTTTTCTTTTGATTTTTCACACTTTAAATATTAAACGGAAAGGAAGAAAAAGAGCGGAAGCATTTAATATTTTAGTTTAGTTAAGTTTCTTTTCTGTTCACTGATCATTACAAAAATAAAAAAGAGAAAAGCCGCTGAAATTCTCGACAAGAATTTCGAAAGAACGCCCAAATGAAATGTGGCCTTGGCCGAAAATGGAGAGAAAATATGTATATAATTTTATAATTTAATAAAAGAATATTAAATTAATTAGAGAATAATAATTAAAAATTATTTTTATTTATTCAAAATATTTTATTGGCTTAAATCGAGTTTTGTATTACTAAATGATTTAATGAATGAGAAAATAATCCAAGAAATTATTCATCAGAAGAGGGAATGAGACAAAACAATCTTTTCGCCAATCATTTAACCCAGGGTTACGATTCCTACTTTTTTAAAAGTATTCTACTTTTAAATCGACCTCCATGCTTACGAAATTGAATTTATACTTTTTTGAAAGTATATACTTTTTTTTGATTGAAAATGAAATTGGGGAAGGGATTGGGCAAAAAAGTGAATTTTTTTGGCCTACGGCCTTTGAAATTCTCAAAATTTTCGCCTGCGGCGCTGAAAATGGAAGAAATCTATCTTCTTGGGCTCTAAATTTCAAAAAATTTTCGCCTGCGGCGCAAGAAATTGAAGAAATCTGGCTTAAGGACTTCCGAAATTCTCAAAATTTTCGCCTGCGGCGCAAAAAATAGATTTTTTGGCGCCTTCGGCGCCAAAAAAGGTGCATTGAAATTGACAAAATGCTCAGTTGAAACAGGAAATTATTAG